TGCTTGCACAAATTTTGACCTTGAAATGCGTGTTTGTTTTTTTTATTTCTTATCTAAACTTTATTCATCACACAAAGAAGAAGAAGAAGACGACTCGGTCTTAAACAAAGTCACTTTTAAGTACGTATGTATGTAATTTGTTTACTGATGGCTTGCAAAAACGGCCTGGCATGAATTAGTGGCACCCGAGAAGAATATCTTGATTTGGCAAAAGTTATGAATAAAAATTATTGATTGTTGAAGGTTTATAAATAAAAAAATAGTACTAGAAATTTACACTTCATTTAAAGTAGTAAATAATTTTTGAATTGAACCTCACGCCGACCATTTTTGCTAAGCTAAACAAAGACATAGTGCAGCACATTTGATTTTGAAGAGCTTTAGTTTTTCTTAATTTCTTGTATGAATAATATATATGTATATGTATGTATGGAAATGCATGTAAGAGTATATATATATATGTATGTACATATAAAGAACCAATTGCATCAAACGCTGACGACTTTGTGACGGCCAAGCTGGCAAATTACTACTGAGCCGCATACGCCCGGCCAGGCGGCCAGACGGCCAAAGGAGCCCAAACGAACCAAACGGGAGGCATTAAAGGCGACACAAAGTGTTCGGTTACATGGCCATAAAGCGAAAGATAAAAACAAAGGAAAAACACCTAGAAGAAGCAAACTTAAAAGTTCTTTGCGAAAGTGGCATTAGAAGGCCAAACACAAATTATTCTAAACACAAGCGCACATAAACACACACATACATATGGGCAAGTCTTCAGAAGCGGGGATTTTGTGTTAGTTACCTTCAAATTTATTTTAAGAGCGTAATTTTGCGAGTACTTTTTATAAAAAGTCTGGGTAATTTTGATCACGATTTTCACCTTTTTTGTTTTGTTTGTTTATTTTATTAATGACATTTTAATTTGTATAAACAAGTTAAGTCATTGAGATAACAAGTAGGCGTGTTAGTTTGGGCATCTTTCGTATCTCCTTTTCATGCGTATAATTCCTTCAAAAATCATGGCAAATAGTAATTCTAATATTGGAAAATACACGCTAAAAAAAATATGTGCTGCTCATTGAAAACGGACAAAAACCACGCCCTCTAGAAATATTGCAATCTTTGAATTTTTCGAAAATTACCATTGTTTACTCAAAGCTCTCTTAGCATTTAAAGAAAATGAATCACGCAAGAATTGATTGTTTTCTCAATGGATTTCAAGCAATTTAATTCATCTTTCATAGCGTTGAATCGGCCGGTTCTGAAGATTTGCCCATACCATCGCATTTCCCCATTTGCTTAAGTGTTTGTGTTATGCAGAGCTTATCGCTATGCCGCCGCTGATGGTTAACCAATCCTTCTTCTGGGCCAATTTGTGGCAGCATCTTCATTAGCCGCTCACTGTTCTACGCCAACGCGGCTCTTTGGTGGGCGTAGTGAGTGCAAATTAAAAACAGGGCGTTTCGATTGTTCATTAAATTTAAATGTTCTACCATTGCGGCGTCGAAATGTTGCCAACATCTTTATATGTATGTATGTACTTATATGCGATGATGTCCTAAATACTTAGTTAAAGTAGAGAGTAGTATTTAGAAACTTGTGTCTTAAGTGTAGATGGTACCTTTTTGATGCCTTCTACATACATATGTATGTAGGTACGTAGTTACAATATACAAGTACCGTATGGATTACTGAACTGAAAAAAGTATTCTAGTTTTGAAAAGATTTTATGTGAGGTCATTTGTTTGCATAAGTTCCGTGGTCAACGTCAACAAACCCAGTAGGCCACCATGTGGTCTCAATAATCCGAATTTGAGAGTCAGTTTGGGCCAATATACCTCCTAGAATTCGAGAAAACTAAAAAAACAACCGTAACAAATAGGGAAATAAAAAACGGGTTTTTAAAGTTCTCTCGAAATCTAGCAGATCTATTGGCCAAACTGACTTCAAATTCGGATTCTGCGGGTCGAAAAACATAACCATAGGTAGGTCCGATCAAATGTACATCACACACATTTTTTTTGTGTGCCGGTATAATTAATACTTTTCACCGCAAGTTAATCGTTCGTAATCGATGGTCCCTCCATTCTAATTTTTTTCATCTGAACTTTGGAATGAAATTTTAGGTAGTCAGAATGTATTCACCTGCTCAGTTTGTGCCAGCTTCATTGTGAAAAAAGGCAGTACCCCTCATTTTAAACCTGCCAATTTCATGTCTTGACTGCCTTATACTAAACTAACCAAAGCATATAAGTATGTTGGTATGAATAACATTCGCAGCACCTAAAAAAATAGTCCAGTGCGTATAGAGAAACTCGAATGTCCACATCCCTAAAATTCACATATATGTATCAATGTATTTAAAACTGCGTCCGTCTCTTCGAATTCCAGATGAATAAGTTTTTATTTTGTTGTTGTGCTCTCATCCAGCGGTACTTTTGAAACCTATTGCAGACTAGTATCCAAATTTTTAGAGCTGTTGTTATAATCAAGATCGCACCATACCTGTATATGTGTGTATGTACAATAGGGTGGTGCATGTGAAACAGTAAAGTCGGAATTTTTATGTTTCCACCCCTAGGATTCTTTTATACAGAAAAAATATATATCCTACCCAAAAAATATTTAGAGGTCGTTGAAAGCCCTCAAAGCATGGAAAACTTTCCATGTATTGTATATGAAAAAAAACACCATTTCTTAGAAATAGTATAGAATTCTTAAAAATCCATACTTTCGCTTTGAAAACTCTGTTTCTCTGTAGGAGATTCCCAATAATAATATCAAATACCTTTTTTAAGCATTTTTTTATATTAACTATAATTTATGGGTCCGCCCAAAAACCCCAAAAAAAAAAATCGTTAGTATTAAAAAATGGTTAAATAAACAATTTGATATTACTACTGAAAGTCTTCGGAAAGTCTGGAGTTTTCCGATCGCGAAATATTGATTTTCAAGAATTCTATGCCATTAATATGAAAGTTTGGTTTTACCCATTGGAAAACTTTGAGCGCTTTGAGCGACCTTTAAATATTTTTTGATTTCAAAATAAAAAATAGGGGTATATATTTTTTTCGATATAGAACAATCCTAGGGGGTGGGCGCATTAAAATTCCGACTTTACTCTTTTTAGACCACCCTAATGTACATGATCATATTGAGAAATTAAAGAGGGTATGATCTGAGACATTACGTTGCACCTATTTATGTAAATATATGTATGTATGTAAATTGGGTTTAAGCTTAGAATCAGTTTTTCCGCTAACTCTTTCTTTCTTTAACTTTTGTGTCAAGTATGGCATAGTATAATAACCATAAGTGTACTCTTGAAACAAAGCTCTGAATTGTCTTAATTTCAAGCAGTATATCCTTAAATAAAATATAACAATATCGCTTTTAAAATATCAATTTTCTTAACGAGAAAAAAGAGGAACGTCCGAATCGCAGCGCCCGCAACAAACATTCGTAAAAATTTCAAGCTTTTTTTTTATTAAGATTCAGTTTTAATAATAAAGTGCAAGCTTGAAATAGCTATGTCTTACGGTTTTTTTTTTAACATTTTTTTTGCTGACTATGTTGTGCACTTCTTCAATACAAGATACATATGTATGTATGTATGTTCGACGATTTTTTATGTGGACCAAAATTAGCTTGTATATATAAAGATTAACGAAAATTAAATAACTATAAATTGATTGTTAGAGTATGTAGGTTCAGTGCAATTAATTTCTGATTGAGAAGTAATTGAAAAGAAAAATAAAGGCTCTTCTGTGCAGTTTTGTTTTTAATACCAATTAGTAGCGTACTCAACCCAAATGAAATTTTGAAGAAACTTAAAATATTGTAAGTATATTGGTAGTTATGTAGTTTCAAACACATGTCTTCAATTCTTCTTTATAAGTCAGTGCTACCTATATATACATAGGTACACGTATGGAATTATGTTAAGAATGCATATACCAGATTCTAAGAATTACGAATGGGAGTCTTAATATGAATATTACCATTGTTCCGCAGCACAGATAACAGTTTCACATCTTTTTCATTTTGCTAATGAAGACAAAATGCCACCAAGTTAATGTGCCACGGCAGCTGCAACATTGCAACACAATGCGAATACGCAAATGCTAAGCCATCATAAGTACTAAATCATTATTTGTCTGCCTCCAACTATTTTGGTCAACAATTTTGCAAACACCCACACAAAAAAAGTAGAGACTCAAAGGCACTCACACACACAAACCTACTAGTTGGCGGTGAAAAATGTCGACCATGTCCTTTGATAATGAAGTTGCTTGCGAACGAGGCTGCTGAAACAACAACAACGATGGCTCAATGCCACGCAACATTTACGGCAGTGTTGCGGCAACATTTGCACACGTTGTGTTTCCGGTACACGGATATGCACACACACACACACACACACACTTCGAATGGAAACATCGCAGTGTGGATGTGTGGGTTTTCGTCGCATTCCTTACGCCTCGTCCGCCCGCCCGGCCCCAAAGGATATGGCCTGATAACAAGAATGTGCCTGTGTGTGTGTGTGCATGTATTTACTTACATATGTACATATGTATGTAGGGATGTGCATATTTTATGTAAGTGTATTTCTTGTGCGCGAAACAGCCGCCGCTTTGTTGCCGCACGGTAAGTATAAAACAGGATGCGTGGCCAACACCAGCCACAGACGTCTCGAACTTATTTCACGAGCAACAAGTGGCAAGCGTTCGCTCGGCAAAACACCGGACGGACACACGGGCAAAGCGGCGGCACCGGCATTTAACGTCATCTCATCAAAAGTCAAAGCTACACTTTTAACTATTTGTGGCATCAATCATAGTGGTGCGGCGGTCAGGTCAGTCTGCGTCCAGTTAGCGTTGGCCAAGCGGAAAACTACAATTTGTTTTTTTTTGCTCCGTCACCGAGCGGAAACGGATGTTGTGTAGTGCTGTTATCGAACAGTTAAACTACTACAAAAAGTTAAGCAACAACAAAATTGAAACTAAAACTGAAAAAAGTGCAGATCGATTTTAAATAAGTCTCAATTGAGCCCGTTCCAATGATTGAATGATTGTTGTGCCGCGAATTAAACTTCGGTGGTTTTAAAAGTTTTCGCAGCCAGTAGCTGCAGTGTTGCACGACTCGACACTCTCGGCGTTGTACGCATTTGACGGCTTTTGACGGAGCGTTTATATTTTTACGCGCAACTCTCGAAGTCGACGCTGGTTCGAAGTGGAAATCAAAAAGGTGATTTATTTACAAACTATTTCACAAAGTTCTTAAGTTTTACTAATCCCGCCAAGGTTTACTTATCTAAAGTCATTAAAATGTGTTGCGGAATTTTATGGGCATTGAAAGGTTTTCAGTCTCTTCCCACGCAAAGGTAAATTAGTGATTGCGAGTACAACAACAGTATAGAGGTGGGGTAGTTTTGTGGTACAATATAGTTTTTATTAAGGATTTAAGAATTTACGAATTTCAAAATTTTTTCTGTTGGTAAAAAAGGCTTCACCTATGCAGGGTTAAAAAACTTCCGAACTATTTAAACTTAAAATATTCCAGACAGGCTGGAGTTCTCAACCTGTGCATAAAACACTGTTTACGCGATATTTTTAAGTTTAGCTTAAGCTGTAGAAAGATGTATTTTTGAAGTAAAAAAAAAATATTAAGTTGAACAGAATATATGCGGTAAAAATTTGGGAACTGTTCGAAAGGAAACTCAAATTTACGCAATTTGTTTATACCGTGACTATTTTTTGTAAGATTAGCAAAGTTTTTCATGCAAAGTTTTTTTGTTAATTTTGTATTAAAACGTGGCTTATAAAAAAAAAAACATTTCAAATATGAGGCTGTGTACGAAATTTAGAAGAAATCTAAAAAGTTTCATCAAAATGACAAATTTTTAAAAAGAATTTAAAAAATTAAAAATTTATTTTTAAAATTAAATAAGTATGCATTCAATTTTAATATAATAATGTGCAAGTTTAAAGTGTTTTAAAATTGGTGTTGATTTTTGAAATTTTTTTTGCTGACTGTCTTACCGTTTTTTTTTCATATAATGTTTGTTTATATGGATAAAATTATATAACGCCGCCAGAAAAAATATGATACAAAAATTAACACGAGTTTTAGAACATCACATCATTTGTACATTTTTATACTCAAGTTGAAAGGGTATAAAACTGCATTCTTTTTTTTTAGAAATTCTTTTGTAAAAAGTTTCAACTTTCGACGAAATTTTGCAGAAAGATATTACGAATATTTAAAGAAAAAACGGTTTGAAAAACCGCATAAAAGGAGACCTAAGTGTATTTCAGATTTACATGTTTACAAGCTGTCCTTTATTGGAATCAATAAAAGGCTAGATTGTTAACTTGTATGGAAGTCTTACGTTTAACAAATGACCTATGTAGCCTTAACTGCGCTTCGGCAATATAAGCAGGTTTTTGGTAAAACGTGGCGTCTGTCAACTAGAGGAATCCTTTGGATTTACATCTCTGATGTGGTGGCGCAGAATCTCAATCAATGGCGTGGGAGATCTGCTTGCCAAACTTCAAAGGACGTTCGCAGTGCGATGTACGGGAGCTTGCGCCACAACACCTGAGGCTGATATGGATGCAGTACTCAACCACGTCAACCGTCATCCGCGAGGTGGAAATTTCTGAAGGAAGAGATTTAAACTTGAATGGCTTTTCAACGCCACAGGATAGTACGCTACCGTTGCCTTTGCTGCGAAGATACTACAATGTCGAGTTCATTGAGGCTGAGTGCCGGCTTAACCCCAATACTGAGCCCGACTCACACATTGTAGAATCTTTACTGATACTTTACAGTATCTGCAGTCTTAATCGAAAGACCCGAATACAATCATCTCTTCTAAGGCCCTGGACCACTCTCCAACTACTTCCAAACCAGTTTGGTAATCATGTCGGATAACATAACGTAAATGTTTTAGTCTAGGTGCCAGGTCAGTAGGGATTACCTGGTAATAAGGCAGCTACCACAACTTGTGGGACTGTTGACTCTCCACTTCGCGTGGAGATAAACACCTGACTGTGATAGACATGCATGGCAACCCCATTCGTCCTTACTGCGCTCAAGAGGATGAGACAGCGACATATTTCTTTTTTTCTTCCGCAGGGGCTTTTTCGGGATTGGACATGAGGTCTTTGACAGCGAAGTGCTGAGAGCCGAACGCCAGAGCTCTTTAACACCCAACAATCTGCTCCAACTTATTCGTAATATGGTACAATGGACAGCATGTAGTCTGAGCGCTGTCTGTACGCGTTGTTTTGTGTGTTAGTTCCAAAAACAAATGTTTGTATACGCAAGTAGAAATTTCAATGAGCTAATGTGTGTAGCAAACGCTGAGGTGTAGTACATTAAAAACTAAACTTTGCCACACTGTAGCATAAAAGTAAAGTGACACTTGATACCGTAAGCAAGGCACAAAAAATATGTATGTATGTATGTATGTATGTATGTAGGTAGGTAGACCTACATAAATATGCCTTTTTACGTTAACAGCACACACAGCACGTTAATGCATTTAGTAAGATTATTGCCCATGATATTTTCCAACGTTATTCGCTCTTTAAATAAAAGTAAAACCTACCACCGTAAAAGATAATAATAAAAGTAAAAAAATTAACATATGAAACAACGTTGTTAGCGTTAACTTTTAAGACGCCTAACCGACCGAAATTTGAAGAAAAGTAAAACGGCAAACAGAAAAGTAAACAATGCGTGCTAAGTAGTACACAAACAACAAATGCGCTGGTAAAGCCCGGGCTATTTATTGACCAATAGCGCAACGTGGAAAGATGCGTTTGCTTAACGGTAAATATTGACTGCAGCGGCCAGTTGTTACACGCAGCTATGTAACATATTTCATACATATTTATTTACGCACATATATATGTAATGTACGTGTCTACATGCGAGTGTATGTATGTAAGTATGTACAAATGATCAAAGTCTTTATTTAAGCTACGCACAGCAGAGCAGAGTTTACTTTAAAGACTCAAATACGAACGGAAACTAAAATCTATAAATACTTATGTAAACATTTTATATTACTATGCAACTCCATAGCACATATCTAACTGTATTTCGTATAAGAAAATCAACTATAACGGCAATATTTTTAATACAACAGGTTTTATTAGATTTTGTTACACAGTGTGCATTCGTTTGAAGCGTTTTCATATCGAACTGTTCTCTTGCATACATATGTACATAGAAATTTTAACTTTTTGAAGTGAAACTTCTTTAGCGGCGGTTGGTTGGTTGGGAGTAAATTGGCAAATTGCACACGGAAATTGTTGGGACGGAAATGATGCAACGGAAATGGGGCAACGGAAATGGTTGGGGCTGAAACAAGGGCTTCTTGTGTGTATGCATACGGTATAAATTTAACAAAAATTTGCTAATAAAAGGTTAAAGAATAACACTTAGAAAAAGACCAATACAAGAATGAAACTAAAGGTGACTACGTAGATAAATGAAGAAAAGGATAAAGGCAAAGGTAAAAATAAAAACAAAAACAAAGATGCGTAAAGATAAAGGCAAAAATGAAGACCAAGGTAAAGTTAAACACTTTACTTATATATATAAGAACAAATGTGAAGGGGAATATGTAGCTGAAAAAAATGATGAACATAAAAGTAAAGACAAAGAGGAGGATGAGGATACCGATAAAAGCAAAGAAGAAGATAGGGGAAGAAAGATTAAAATAGAGGTAATTAAAGAGGAAAGGATATAGAGAGAGACACAGAGACTCAGTCTGGGAACTATTTTGGGATTTTAGAGATTTTCGGGATTCTCGAGACTAAAATAAAAATATAAAAAAATCGATTATAATATAATATCGATTATTTTATCGATATTTATCGGTTTTGTTACCGATATTTATCGATTTTGTTATCGATATTTACCGATTTTGTTATCGATATGCATCGATTTTGTTATCTATAATTATCGATTTTGTTATCGATATTTACCGATTTTGTTATCGATATGCATCGATTTTGTTATCTATAATTATCGATTTTGTTATCGATATTTATCGATTTTTTAATCAATATTTATAGATTTTGTTATAGATATTTATCGATTTTGTTATCGATATAAATCGATTTTGTATTCGAAATATTTATCGATTTTGTTATCGATATTTTTCGATTTTGTTGTCGATGTTATTATCGATATTTATCGGGTTTGTTGTCGATATTTTTATCGATTTTCTAATCGGTTTAGCTACCAATGGTATTATCGATGTTGCTACTGAAATTTTTATCGAATTTGTCATCGATTTTGTTATCGATATTTTGATGGACGTTATAATCGATTTTGTTATCGATAGAAGGTAATGGAAAAACAGAATAAAACGAACAGTGGTAGAGGTAGGGGTCTACATTGATAGAAAAAAAGCGAAATAATATAACCTTAAGCAAAAGCAGACGTGTGTATGTATAGATAGATAAGTAACGTAAGTTTCACTTCTGCAGTGTGGCCCAGGCGCACTTACTTTTTTTTTAACTAAATATATATTTACATAAATAGCAAACTGTTAAAAATCGTGTTTTTGCAAAAAAGTAAATTTAATAAGAAATTATTTTTCGGAAAGAGTCTTGGTTAAGCCGAAAAACCCTCGAATTAGGTGTGGCAGTTTTAGGAATAAAATTAACAAAAAGACGGTTTTATTGTAGATTTCGGCAGAATATCTATTCCCAAACAACATATTTTGTAAGAGAAGAAGTTACCGCAAGTGAATATTCAGTCACATAAGCTGTCAAATCAAATCAAGTTGTAATTTTCGCAAATCAAGTAAATAACTATTTTCGAAAATTAAACATATTCATTTTTAACCAGTTAGGAAATTCTATTTGTTTACTAATTTGATATATAAAAAAGATTTAAAAATAAAAGGATTTTTAGCGGTTGGCACCGTGTCCCGAAAGGGCCCCAAAAACCACAATTTTTTTTTTTTTATGGAGATTTTTTAGTTTGCTCCATACTACTCATAGTGTTTGTAATTTTTGCAGAGCCATGCGGCTTTTAAAACCTGGTTTTATTATATTTTCAAACCGAACGCCAAATCCGCAATCGACTGTGGGTCAGAGGTCGGCAAACGGTTTGCAAATAAGCGGTTGTTTTAAATTTTTACAATTTTTGAGTTATACATCCTCTAAAAAAAACGAAAATAAATTAACGAAATGGGCCCGAAAAGGAAAAATAAAATACGCGAAAGGGGAAGGAAAAGACACTAGAAATCGCAAAATTCATATTATGCCCTTTACAATTAAGAAAAGGCAAAAAAGGCAACATCAAATGTGTATATATGGAATCAGGGAAAGCTAAATCGTAGTGTAAATCGTTCTTAATCGAATATACTCTATCTCTTTAGCAGAAAAAAGTGCCTAAAATTGTATGGAGATATTTGCAAAATATATCTGAAATTGAGAGATTTTCTCGAGGTCCTTCCATATAAATCCTTATATCCCGTAACATAACGTCATGTAAAATGGAAGAATCGCGCTTTCAAATAAACCTGGGTTTTAATGTTTACGACAATTTTGATAAAAACTAAAAAAAGTTACACGCATAAATTAAACATATTTTTGGATAGCAATGAGTTGCCATCTCCGCCACGATGAAGTTGTCGCATTTTCATTATTATTATTTTTTTTCGTCATTCAACGATTCTTGGAAATCGCTCTTACTTTACTTATTTAAAATGAGTTTGGTAGATGCGGCACTGTTAGAGACTTTTGCAATTCTTCTTTCCTGGAATGTAAACATCCACTCTAGACGAATATCTTGATTGTAGTCTAAAATATTATCGAAGTGATAAGTGTACACCGAATTATTGAGAATTCTGTGCTTTATCCCACAACGCCCACGGAGCCCACGACTGAGCTACTCAAAACCGGCAGCTGGTCGGGCGCGCGTTCAACTTTAAAGGCGCATTTGGCCAGATGAATACTTGCCCGAAAGTGAAGTGTCGTGGCCCTTTGACCATTCCACTAGGAGGATCAGTCTTCTTAGTATTGAGTATTAGGTCCTGGCGACGATTCTGTGTGCAACGCTCAGATTCTTCATGAGCGAATTGGTTGCATTTAATCAGCATGGCTTCAGACCAAGCCAATCCACCATTTATCAGATTTTCACAGTGCATTACATATTTAATTACCAAAGTCTCGAAAAGGCCACCGGTTGGATGGGCGAAATAGCCCAGTATGCCCCTTTTTGGTTATAAAAACTCCTAGTTTTCGCCAACGTTTGAGTAAAACTTATGTGACATTGTGGCTATGTACTTGTTGCATTGTATTTATCGTAGCCATTGCTGCTGCGTGTGTGTGTGTGTGTGTGTGCTCGTGCATCCGTACACCCATCACGCGGATGTCGCCTTTGCATTTGCAACATTCACGCATTATGATTTATGAACTGTATGCTGCTCTCTAAGTCCTGCGGTTGTGGTTGATGCGAAGCGAGGTGAACAATATACATGTGTATATGTATATGTGTGTATATATGTATGTAGTACGAATGTATGCTTTCTCTTCCGCTGGAAGAAGTAAATCTTCACAGGTATTTTTGAACTTTATCAAGCTGGCTTTCTCAAGCTGGATGTCCCAAGACCATCGCATTGTCGCATATCCTGTGGAGGACATGCAGCCGAAGTGGATTCGCATTTGTTTACGCTCGTGTTTAATTCGTTACTGCACCCGCGCGCGTGTGTGTGTGTGTGTGTGTGTATGCGCCAAGCTCATATATGAATTTATTTGGAGAGTGTGAGCTTGCCATACCTATGCATACACCTAGACGTAAATAAAAAAAGTTCCCCAGCGTTGGCACAGTTTCGCATCGCATAGTTTTTCATATCATCAATCTACCGCATATCTGTTCACATTTGGCGTTTCAATTTGTTTCTATTATTGTTGCTTATTTATTGTGGCAGCTTGGAGGCGCATTTGTATGAAAAATTATTATTTCACATCTGTCGAGCAGATGCGAATGTCTCCGTCAGTTAGAGAATCCAGCCGAGGAGCGGCGAACAGAGGACGATGCATGCACTTGATCACTGTTGTCATCCAAGTTATGTTGACATTTTGTGTGACAAGTGTAAGGTATCTCTACTCACGCACATACATACACCCAAACAGTGGGTGCCACTGAAAGGTATACCTTTTTCCATAGATGCAATAGACGAATAGCTAGTTGCATGAGGCGAACTGCTTTTTGGAATCTGGAACCATGAACTTGATGTTTATGGGCATTACGTAATACCAACAATCCCATCAGACACATCCGCGAAAAGTTGTCTTACTAGGATTGGTGAAGAGTCGGTTGGTTGGTTTGAACTCGGAGATTACCTAGTGGGTCAATTATTACTTCCGACAATACGTTGTTAAAAGGCCCCACCATGTTGAAGTAGGACCTTCCTGCAAAGCTTTTATATGTGAATGCTTCCTATACCCACAGACCTCTCTACATTTCACCAACACGTCGCCTGGATTCCAACTCCAGCTGTATAATATTTCCAGAAAAAGGTTGTTTTGCTTCTCCGGGCTCTATTAAAGAGTCGTCTCCTTGACAGCGTCAGATCAGAAGGTCCGCCGTACTCTGGAGGAGATACTCTCTGCCTTTACGGAAACTTAGGTGAGAACAGAGACCTAACTAGCTAAAACTTTGAAATTCTTTAACAAACTTAACTAATTTTATTGAAGCTCTCATAACTTAAGATCATTAAAACCAGACTTTTATAGCATCACATTCAACAAACAAAAGACAACAAAAGTGTTCTCCTGGTGCCACTTGTTGCACACTATGGATACTTCGCTGCAGTTTTTTTTTTATTTATTTGCGTCAAAACCTTCAAACAAGATGGATGCCAGTGACGCTGATGTAATGTTAATGCCCTTCATTTTTATTTTCCTTGGCGAATTCTCCTCAAATGTTATGTTTCTTTACATAAAATTTTCTTCTTGAATGAAATGCATGTGAATATTTACTCACAATTCGAAATCAGTTCAAGTTAAAAATATATTTAGTGCGAGTAGCTCCGCAGGGTATACCGCACTATGCGGCACCGGAACTGCGCGACAGCACGCGACGCGACATTTTTGCCTAGTTGGTCAACTTTGCCGCGCTGCGTCGCGTCGCGTCGCGTAGCTCCGCTGCAGCGTAGTGCGGTATGCTCCATAAGAATCCATGCAAAGAATATTTTGCCGCGTCGTTGTGTAGTGTCGTGTCGCGTCGCCTAGCGCGGTCGTACCTTTAATCTGTTGCTGCTGCTGCTGTGGCTGGCTGCACTTCGGAGTGCTTCATCCGCACGCGCTTTTGCGCTTCATTGGCGTCACAAGGAATGCTAAAACATTAATACTAACAATGGCTAATTAGCGTTGCATGCGGCTACTACATATAATGTGGCATCGCCAATACGTTCCTATCATAGGTATATACTAACTTTACATTTTTAATAAGTTCATGGGCGCTGAAGTATGATTTAAGGATTCTTAGTGGCGGCTTCTTTGTCTTGGTCTTCGTCTTTCTCTGCACTCTATTTACTTGTACGTATGTAGTTTCGCGGATGCCGCAGAACATTCTATAATTAAGTAGTAAGGGGTATCAGATATTTATTGTCGGCCGTATTGTTGCTTGACTGACTAAGTGCGAATTGTGAGTTTTTCACACCACGCATCAATGTTTATTTGTTTTGTTGTTTATAGATGTAGATGCTGGTGTGCTATGTAAGGCATTAACTCATCTCAAATTTGTTAGCCGCGTACTTTTATGATTAACAGCGGCGACTGGTAATACTGTTACGGTCTTGTTATTGGTGTTGTTGTTGTGTGAACGTCATGTTGGTCTTTGGTTAGCTTAGTTTTTATGACAAGTGGCAGGGGGTGGGCCTGGGTGATGATTTCGTCAGCAATATTTATGTATTTACTTTTTTAATTTGAGTATATATCTGAAACATTTAGTATATTCTAATTTGAGGTAATATTTTCCAAAGGTACATTCAATTTGTCAAATTGCGAAAAGGTGTTATCATTTTTAGAACTGACATTACGACCGCGCATAACGGTTAAGTACATCTTCTTCTTCTTACTTGGCACTACTAACGATTGCCGACTTAGGATGAGACCAAAGAAATCGCTATTTCAGAAATTGCGTCAGTTCCCAGTATCCCAAATGCTGACAGATCCTTTTGCATTTAAGACTTCTCATCTTTGTTCGTCAGAGTCCATGATTCTGTGCCATATAAAAGGATAGGTGAGATATTTGTGAAGCGTGTCGAGAGAAATTCTTCTCTTGACCTACAATGTGACATTTTTGGTGGCGTCTTTGCTGGATCCAAGGTATACAAAGTCCTTCCCACTATCAAAGTTGTAACTGCCGACCATGTGCCCCAAAATGCAAAGACTCTCTGTATGCTGCCAGAAGGTATTTTTTAATTTCCTCCATTCAACGCTACTTTGGCTCCTTTGGAGAATTCTCAAATTTAGAATGATAACTTCTTTTCAAAAATAAAAAAAATATGATCAGTACCGAATTATTAACTAGGACCTTACATTGTAAAAATCTAGTCAAAATTGGATTTTCTAGGCCTGAATCTGTTAGTTACGATCCAATTAGTTAGTTCATGAGCCTTTCCCACAGCATCGTCCTTTAGAACTCCAAATTGTGTATAGGAGATACTACACTGTTGTAAGTAGATTAGAATCAATAGTAAATTGTAACAATATTGGTATCAATAAGAATAATTATGTCCGATAGTTTATGATAAAAGTAAGGGCAGCAAAGTCAATATCGATATCGATGACTGAATCAGTATCTATAGCGACCAACAGTGAAAGCAGATGCAAATTTAATTATACAAATTTTTGTTAGCTGCTGGCCACACTCTTTATGTTTCATGTTGCACACCTTGAACCCACTGACTCGCTTTTGCCGGCTCGGCTAATAATTTATTTTTTAGAGTACAGAGAATTAACTGCAAGGGGTTGGGTAATGTGAAATCAAAACGGTTGAAACCACATAAGTGAGAACTGGAAGTCCAATTGTTCAACTGGTTATTATTTTATGCTTCTTATCCGGCAGAGTTCCTCCAGAAAATTTTAAATACTTAGTAATAACAACAAACACCGCAACTTAATATTTAAAATTTTTTATTTCCATCTCCATTCCAGCGCCGAACGACATCGCCTCCAATACAATATGAGTCCCCTTCTGGTCTTCTTCCTCTATATCATTCAGTTGCAGGCAGCAATTCGAAGTGAAATTATCGAAACTCCAAATCTAAATTTGAACACTATTTCCGATTCTGAAGACGACGATATACAAAGTAGTGACTCCCTAGAGCGAAAAAGCACCACCACCACCACCACCACTGTGGATCCACTTGATCTACCTTACGTGAAGACTACTCGCGATCAAACAGAAGTAGAGTTTCGTTATCCGATTGCATCATTGAACATTGATTACTCGAAGAATTTAATTATATTGAAATTCCGCAAATCCGCAAAAGCCGATGAAGAAGAAGCGAGGCGTCGAAAATCGCTCGATGAAAATTTTATGCGCTTCGGACGCGCGAACTCGGACTTCATGCGCTTTGGTCGCGATGCTGCCGATTTCATGCGCTTTGGGCGCAGTCCTTCGGATTTCATGCGCTTCGGCAAGCGATCCCTTGAGCAGATACCAAAAGTGAACAGCCTTGATCATGAGTACAATTACGATAAGGATGCCGATACGAGTCGCCGATTTGAGCGCAGCCAGGAGGCTATACGCGACTCGCGTGGCGACAATTTCATGCGATTCGGGCGACCAGCTGAGGACTTTATGCGCTTCGGACGCAGTAGCAGCAACGATTTCTTACGTTTCGGACGTGCTTCCGGCGATTTCATGCGCTTCGGCCGAAATCCCTCGGATTTTATGCGCTTTGGACGCGGCGGTTCTGATGACTTCATGCGATTCGGTCGCAGTCCCGACTTTATGCGTTTTGGACGCGCACAGAAGGAGAGACGTGACACCGATAGAGACTTTATGCGCTTCGGACGACCAGACAACTTCATGCGATTCGGAAGGGCATCCGGCATGCCGACGATTTCGCCGAATTTCATACGCTTCGGCAAGCTTGATCCGAACTTCATGCGGTTTGGCAAGAATTTAGATCACCAAGCGCAGGAGAATACGAGTACGAAACCGCCATTGCCCAAAGAGGTGATCAAAGAAGCTGCAAAAATTTTGAACCAAGCTGAACGATTCGGTGGAGAAGGTGAAAGCAACCCTATGGATAGGGCTATCAAGGTGCTTTTCGGAAAGGAGGGAGGACACAAGCTGTCGTCCGCGCAGCGTGAAAGGGCGGCGCAAAGTAATGAAGACACTTCCAACGACAACGACGAAGTGGAACCTGACTACGAGCTTAATGTGTCGCAGTGAAGCAAATGATTTTGAGTGACTACTTCAACGCTCGATTTGATGACCAATTGTAAATATTAAGCTACTCCTTAGGAACTGAACTAATGAGAACTGGCATAGGAAAAACGGACACAAACACACACACACAATTGCAGACACATTTTAGATAGGGTTTCACGTATATATGTACATACATACCCCAACTAAGTATGTATCCATAGGCAGAAAAATGCCAACTGCAAACTGATTTTAAATTAGTTATAAATACATATATGTATATATGTAATCTACTATATAGTTAATGAGTATATCAAATGTGTTAGGGGTGAATTTTTATTAGGGCTGGATTGAAAATTCACTTCTTGGAAAAGTTCCTTACTTTTTAAAATCAAAACAATTATGTATACGAATATACTGCAATGTGTATAATATTAATGTACATAAATTGTGTTTATGAAATTGATTTAGACTATATAGAAAATCATATACTTTTATTCCAAATATGTAAACTAAAATATTTTAGCAACAAGTATTTACTTACTAATAAAGAAAATACATATATAAAATTTTAAATATAATGAAGCATGAAAAAATCAAAATAAAACGAAGATTTCAAAAGCAAAAGGACATTCTAGTTGTTTATTTATTCAAAAACATTTCTTCATAAATTTATTTACATATATACTTCTCCTTGGGGTTGTTGTATCGGCGCCTTGCCTGAATCGGCTAGTCTATCGACTGTCGTCGTCGTCGTCTATCCCAACAACCAGTAGACCATGTAAACCCGCTGTTTTGACGGAATCGGATCAAATTTAAGCCTGGATCTGATTTGTGAGAATGCAAAAATGACTTATGAAGCGCATATGAAGTTGATCTGCCTCCAGCAAGTAGCAAGTTGGGTGCTCCCTTCGGTATAATAAATTACGGGGAGGCGGCCACAGAAGGTATCCCATTGCTGTCCGAATGCCGGTGATCTGACTGTATGTCTCGTCCACTGCGTCCTATCAGTCCCCGATGACCAAGCTGGCGAAACATTATTTCCATAGAATCGGTAGGCTAATTGAATATTGCCAAAAACGATTTTGCGTTTGTGAATGTATCCTCTTGAAAGGAATAAAGACATTGTGGACGTTGAATATTCGCCAGGAATATTTCTATAACAGTTATAGTTACAAATCTTACTCACAAAAATCGTTCTTTAACAAATATTTTTTGACTTTTATTTAATGACTCTTTAAATAACCGTTATTTCTGACTTTTATTTTATAAATCGAAAATAATAATTGTTTTTGATTTTTGTCTAAATAATCTGCAAATAACAGTTATTTTTTATTTTTAAATTATATGTCTTAGATAAAAGTTATCGGAGACTTTAATTTATAAAAGCCATAAATAAAAATCAGTCACTAACCTTTATTTTTTAAATACTTATAAAAGTCGATTGTGTAACTCGTAATAAACTTACGTTTCCCAATACCTTTTTAATTTCGAAAAATGTGAATGACTTTTATACGAATGATTTAAAAACTAAAAGTCAATAACTGATTTATATTGATGACTTCCAAAAGTAAAAGTCACTAACTGTTATCTAAGACATATAATGTAAAAATCAAAAATAATTGTTATTTTGGATTTATAATGTAAAAATCAAAAATAATTGTTGCTTTTTTTATTTTGCCTAAAATTTGCAAAAAAAAAAAATTATTTTCAAATTTGAGTCTCGGTGAAAAAGAAATCGATTGGTATGTAGCACTTTGTTGTAGAGCATTTCCTTCATAGTGAATTTTTCCATGACAGTTTTCATCAATAACAGTTATGTTGGGTCCCTGGTAAAAAGTAATAAATAATAAATAATAAATAATAAAATATCAAAAAAGTCACTTTCCAACAGTAGAAAAGTATTATAGTTGGTTGGCATCAAAATCATCGAAGAGGTCATTCCAGGCGATTATTATGTAAAATGATATCTTGAACCCGTTTTTCGATTGCCAAAGTTTCGAGACAATGCGAATTTATATTGCTTAATGAGAGTTTCAAAATATCCTGAAGCAAATATCCACGTCATCATTGCTAATTCTTATGTAAAATTTACCGTGGGTGACGGTAGAAAATGGCAGGAATCCGCAGGAAAACAATCTTAAATATGGAGCAACTTTGTTGTGCGTTTTTTTACATATGAGTAAGTATATAAATATGCGTGCGCATATGTATGTATGTATGTTTGTAGGTATGTGTGTGCAATCAGACTTTTCGTGATTAAGTTTCAACATCAAAGTGCAAAACGAAAAATGACACTGTTGTTTTTTTTTTGATTTTATGCAAATTTGGCAAATAATCGAATTACAAAAGACAAACTTAAAACATTTTTATGCCTGCTATATTTAGGCAAGAATAAAATATAATATGTGTACATGTATGTACATATGTATGTAGGCACTGGCATGATTGCGCAATCGAACATATAAATATGCATAATTCACAGAGCACACGAGAGCAGAGCAAAGAGCTCTATTGATTTCATTGATGTCAAAAGTGGAAGATTTGGCGAATATCGTTTGGAGAATAATATATATGTGTAGGTATGTATCCTTTTTAGTAAATCCTAAGTATGAATTCCTTTTATCGCATGCAAATTTTTTCCCCAATCCACAGGGGGCCAGAAGACATTCAAAAACGGCCATAAAATGAATAAAGAAAAGCAAAAACAAATAAATACAAAATACAATACAAAAGCGAAGTTTAAAAATAAAAAAAGTAAAGCTTGAATTCGTAATTAGTAAAAAAAAAAATTAAAAATAACAAAAAAAAAATCAAAAAAAAAGTAAAAAAAAAACAAAAAAATAAAATAAACAAAGCGAAACCCAAATCGTTATTAGTAAAAAGCCATAAAAAAAAACAAAAAATGCGAAATACAAAAAAAAAAATACCAAAAAAATCAAATAATTTTTTATGCCGGGCGTGTCGGATTTGCCATTTCTAATTTTTTAAATATAATTTCAAACTCGTGATCAGTGAGCCCAAAAATTATAGAGTAACAAGTTTCAAGCCAATCCGGTTACTTTTCACAACATTGTCCACTATATTGGATCCACCATTTTGAACTTTTAAAACCTTCTGTAGCAAGTTTTAAGCCATTCCGGCAAAATTTCGAATATTGACCACTGTTTATCGTTTGCTGGCGCATAGTGCAATCCGGTATTCATTTATACGCCATGTCAGGCTATGCTGAGCTTTCTCGCTATTTTTACACCTCTCTGATATTGGAAAATTTTGTTTGATAGTCTACCAGCGTCACATTAAGGTGCCATCAAATTCACATAGTCGGTAGACAAGATTCAGAAAGCTAAAAGAGCAAATCATTATGTTAAGCAGCTAAAGTGTTCAAGTATTGACGGCGCTGTGGAATGCACTAAATACAATACATTCATCTATACATACATACATACATGTATGGTAAGTATTTGGCGTTGCTTCCTTCTCCTTCAATTAATTCGTGGTCTTGATATTGTAACTCAAAAAGGAGGGACCACCAAACAGCAAATGGATTGCAAAATAAGCTTTTTAAAGGCAGAAATGCACTCGGAGGTTTGCTGGCCGAGAGGCGACCGCTGCTAGAAAAAACGTTTCCTAATTTAGACATTTCTCGGATCAGGTATCGAACCAATGTCCTGATGAGCTTATTTCCTCTACTCTACCAAGAATGGTCTCGTGTGAGTTCGATATCGAGGCATAAATGAACGCTTCCTCCGTGCGAGCGCTCTCCTCCCAATGCGACTTCGCAGGCTCCGGAATTGCGTTCGATCTTACCCTTCACATAAATGCCAGTATGCACATGTATGTACGTAAGTATGTTGTTACATTTTTATGGCCAATTAGCGTTACACGATTATGACCAACAGCTACCACGACGCACTAACACTTTACTCGTACGTAGTAGTTACATACATACATACATATATATATTGCAAGCAAGTAAATTTGCATTTTGCTCATATTTATGTTTGTGTGTATAATAACTGTTGACTTAACGGTGGTTTAGCCATCTTAATATTTACATACTTTTACCACCGCTTCACGACTACAAATATGTAACTACAAAGTTAGTAAACGCAGCGAAGTGAGAATTGAAATTTTGCGCCACACAGCTAGCTTGCCGTTGTTGCTGTTGCTGTTGCAGGCTGCCTGCCGCATTGTTGAAGGCGTTAATACATCTCAAATTTGTTAGCTGCATAATTTAATTTGCCTTTTAGTTTGATTAAGTGCAACTTCCTACGCGCCCATATTGTGCCGTTGTTTTTCACAAGAAGGTAGATATGCATATACAAAAAAAAAAAAAAAGTTTAAAAGGAAATTAGTAAAAAATAATACTTTATACTTCTTCCATTCTTATCCGCATTATGGTAAAGTTCGCAACTACATACAACCGACAAGAAGAAATGGATTGTTAACATCACATAAAACAATCTAAGGAGAATAAAAAAAAAAAAATATTTAACATGGAAGACATACATACCCTGAGGTTCGGCTCCACCGGTGAGTGCGCCACTAACCATTTCGCTAACTCGCCGGAATGAGTGCTAGCCACAAACTTGGCAACACCCATTCGTTTGCCTAACGTAGTTTTTCAACATGGGGAGCGTCCCGAGCGGTACGAAGTCGCATTATCCTGCCCTAGCACCAACACGGTTGCACAGATAAGGCATTTCCATCAATTATGCATAGGTTAGAAATAAAAGAGTTTGATGCTTTGGCCAGATACACAGCCTTACTTATTACTAAGTAAGAAGAAAATTCAAAAATTACTAAGCAGGTAAATTATTAAGCAAGTACCGAAAATAATAATTATTTTACAATTTTCAAAGAAAAACATCAAAAGCTTCCAAATATCGTAAACAGTTTCGAGTAAATATATATTCACATTAGCGTGGGCCGAAAACCCGCTTTTTAGAATTTTGATTGCTAATAGCAAAAATATGCTCTAAAAAAATATGTGTGAAATATGAAAATTTTTGGTCAATGTCTTAGGCTCGCTCAAGTCCATCAAAGTTCAATGTGCTCCAAAAATAAAAATTGATTAATAAAATTTTTTACTTAAATTGGAATTATCTTCGAAAGTATTAGTGCCTTTTTGACAGAGGTTCGAAGTAAGCTAAGAAACAATTTTTTTAGCACTTGAGCTTTGATGGACTTTGACGAGCCTAAGGTATTTACCAACAATTTGAATCCA